GCCAGCACTGACTGCAGCCCCAGAGAGAGGAAAGAAAGGTTGTATACTCAGACATTTCAGCTATGCCAGCCACCTGGTGGTTGGCAGAATGGGAAATACATGAACAGGAAATGGCTGCTCACCTCCCTTGGATATAAACAGCAAATCCCCTTCCAAGTTGAAACATCAAGGGTTGATGCAGGCATGCAGCAGCCTGTGCGTCGAGGTAAAATCAAATCAAACAGCATTTCCTCAAGAGCTTTTGTTCTGCGGTACGCTACCACCACCAACTGGACAGATTGTGTAGGAAGGGTGATAGCTGTAAAAGATTTGCAAGCCCTTCCCAACCTTATTTATTTATTATTTAAAACTTTTGTATGCCGTCACCACATGCCTCGGCATCCCGGGACGGCTCAAAACACATACAATTAAAAACAATAAAACAATAACAAATTCCATAAAAGATTATATAAAAACAAAAACAAAAAAGCTACTGTTAATGATAAAATATTAGTTTTTAAAAATAGCAATTAAATAAAAAGGGTTTAACCTGGCGCCAAAAAGAATATAAACTCGGTACCAGATGCACCTCTCCAAGGAGTGCATTCCATAATCTGGGCACCACCGCAGAGAAGGCCCTGCTCTGGGTAGATGTTCTTTTTATCTCCTTTAAAGAGGGCTCCCAGAGCAAAGCCTCTCCTGCAGAACTTAAGGGGCGTGAGGGCATGTAAAGGAAGAGGTGCTCCTTCAGGTATCCCGGTCCCAAGCCATTCAGGGCTTTATAGGTTAAAACCAGCACCTTGAATTGGGCCCAGACTTCAACTGGAAGCCAGTGTAGCTGGTAGAGGACCGGTGTTATATGAGAATAACAACCAGTCCCCATAATGTCCTCTCAGTGTTTTGGACTACAGTTCCCATCAACCCAGCCCACATAGCCAATGATCTGGGATGATGGGAGTTAGTCCAAGCCTCTGGAATTGTCAGTCTGTGACAAATGGCCATTAAGTCAATGCTAAGGACACACGGATTTGGTTAAATGCAGTTTGTCTGTGTTTCACTTTTCATTGCCCATTGGCAGAACTGGAAATGTGTAATGTCTGAGAATTTTGTTTCACTTGCACAAATGCACACTAGCGAGGATGCATATTAACACAAGAGTGCACTTGCACAAGTCAGCCCCCTCCTCCACCTCCCTGCCAATATAAAAAGTGGGCTTGCAAGTCTGTCGAATCTCCTCATCTTGGAAAAAGCTGTTCTACAGCAGAATCCACAGGTTGGATTTGCAGAAATCCAAATTCTTTTTTAAAATTATATTGCATGCTGGAATTAACGTGAAAGTCAAGAGGCAAAATCAAGATAAAGGCTTTCTTCAAAGAACTTCCTTGCCGGCAGGTTAGACAGCATCTCCCCTTCTGCATCTTCATGGGAACATATAAGCTGCCTCATCCTAAGAAACTCCACTAGCCCTTTCACTTTTCCCTAAGTGCGGTTTACTTGCAAAGTGCAACCCTCTGCTTCCTGCACTCTCTTTCTCCCTGGTTCCGCAGCCTTGGGACTGAAAAGCAAAAATGGCAAGCAGCCATTTGGGCCGCAGTTGCCACCATCTGTAGGTTGGTCTCCCGCTTTGCCCATTTGGAAAATCCTCACTTTAAAGAATTAAAACCCCCCTCCCATATGTCCTAAGAACATGGCAGTGAAATGGGGAGAGGCATTTTGGTTTGGCTTTAATGGAGACTTTCAGCACAGGCAACTGACAGGGCTGTAGTCATGTGGTAGAGCTTCTCTAGTTAAGGCAGGCTTCCCCAGCTGTGCATCCTCCAGATGTTCCAGACTACAACTCCCATCTTTCCTGACCACTGGCCAGGCTGACTGGGGGTGATAGGAATTGGGTTACAAAACACCTGTGGGGTACTGGGTGGGGAAAGGCTGCTTTAGAGCATATGGACCTGGAGCCTCGGGAGAAGCAAGCTGTTGACTGAACACAAGTGGAAGCTGCGAGGGTTTCATTGCCAAGAACTGCCAGGCATGGGGCTATGAATGTGGCTCAGGGGCAGCACATCTGGCTGAGAGCTCAGCAGAAGCCCAGAGTTTTGCTTTGCTCACACAGAAAGGGAAAGACCAAGGGTTCCTTTCCTTTTTTCAAGCAAAGAGTCAAGTTCTCAGCTAGTTGCTCCTGCAGTAATTGTTCATGCATGAACATGAGGCCCAACATGTGCCTAGTCTGTCTCTTCTAACACATGTCCTGCAACTCTTCACACTGAGTGGTGCTTTCTCGGCAAACAGGTCAAGGAAGGCTATGCTGTTGGAAGGTAGGAAATAGAAATGTTTTCATCCTGAGAATGCTTCCTCTGAAAGGGACTATTAGAGAGCCTTTAATGGAGAACTGAATTGCTGCACCTGTTTGATAAATTCCCTGCACAGATCACAGATCCGTACTTGGCTCAAGATAACCTAAACCACAAACTGTGGCACTTGACTCCCAGGATGCAGTTTGGGCTGGACCTTGCAACCAATGGCCACCCCAAGGGTGGCACAGGATGAGGTCATCAGGGCAGCAGAAGCAAACTCCAGTTTATGGCTGCAGTCATGATGAGCGTGAGTGTAAACTCTGAAAGTACACGAGTTTTTATCATGGTTGGCAAACTGCCTTTTTGTTTGTTGCTGTAACATAGCAGTAGAAACAGACGTCAATATTGGAATGCTGGTGTGTGGACACTGGGAAAGGACAGTTGTATGCTTTACGACTGAAGTAATACACATGGCCATCTAAAGAGATGGAGGGACATAAGACCATGAAGCCCAGTGCCTAAAATGACCTTGCTGCCCCGTTTGACCCACTTAGATATTCATCAGAATGCACGGACGTGGCACCAAGAGCACTTTTTTCCAAGGATATGAAGGTCTCCATTACTTTGTCAGGATGCAGGGCTATGCAAATTTTATGCAAGTATATAACCACAGCCTTTAGCATACTGACGACTGGGGAATGATTACATTCAACTTCTAGTCCTTAGGCCCATAGACAAAATGATCGTAGCAAAGGTTCTTAAGGATACTGGGGGCTGGGAAAAATCAATCAATGCAGAATATCCAGAGGCGAACTAGACATAGCCACTTATGTAATTTTTAAAATTACACATATATTTTATAAAAATAAATCAAGGTGTGCCTAGCAGTAGTCATTCCAGTGTCTTTGCATTCACCGGCCAGAAAACTGGGAGGTGAAAGTAAGCCTGACTCCCAGTCGGCTATCAGATGGAGCTCCGCTTGCATGCTCTCCCATCCCATTTCCCTTTTCTGACCCAAGGAAATTCAGCACAAGGGCCTGCACCATCCTTGGGGACAAAGGCACAGATCTGCCATCCCACAGATGGCAGCTCCCTCGGCTACCAACCCGGCTAGTCTTTACAGCAACCACGTCTGACTTGGAAGCCCTGCACAGGTTGTCTGCTGGGCTTAACACTTGCAGGTGCTTCCACAGTTCGGCCTTCAGCACCTCTCACAATGCTTTACACCTCTGCCTGCAAAGAATAAATCATGCAAAAACAAATAAATGTAGCAATATATTTTCTTATAGTATGCACATGCCACAGAATATATTTTAACCTGTGCAGAATTTATAGTGAACTGTGGTCCTGAGCAAGCCCAGTACTGTCATTTCTGACATGCCAGGACTTGTAGCAGCTGGATTTATTTCTTCCACAGGCTATTTTCTTAGTGCTTTAAAAACGGCTCATTACTGAAGATGCAGAAGAGCACTACATTCCGCTTATATTCCAAAGGTGTGGTTTTTTTCTTTCTTTCACTGTTTAAAAGTTGAATCACCTTCTCCTTGGGACAAAGTATCTCAACACTGTCACTGGTGAAGGAGCACTCTCTCCCGGCTACAAAAAATTAGGGTTAAAAGTAGGAGGCGGAGTCCCCACCCCAACAGTGGCCCCAAGCACACACCACTTTCTCTCATTAAAGCACATGGCTGCAATTAGCTTCTCAGGAAAAAGAGCGCTGCCTGGGGACATGGGAAACTGCAAAAGGCTCCACCTCTGGGGACACCCATGCAGAATGCAATGTGTCTCCGCGTAGATGGCACACAGAATAACTCACAAGCCATCCCAGAGACCTCTCCCCCACAACAACCCTTAGAGAATGTTAATCCTTAGGCGCCGAAAACAGTAACATTTAGGAAATTCCAGTTGTGGGCACTTTTATACTTGTATCAGTTCGAAAGGGTTTTATGACTACATAACACAGAAAAGTGCATGTTTTACTATTTTAATACAATTCATTTCCAATTTATCCTCCATTAACGCTCCTTTCCACTCTATACCCTACAGCACTCTTCTCTCTGCATTCCCAAACCCCCTTTTCTTCATATCTCCTATGACCCACTTCTCTCTTCTATTCCAAGACCCTCATTTTTCTTCTATAGTGTTTCTCTCACCAATACCCAACATTACCTCATCTCAACCATGAAGAATGGTATCAGCATGCACAATTTTCACTCTTCTAGCAGTTCACAACAGTGAAGAATCTCTGGCTACAAATAAAATGCCACCACACTTTTTTCTACACCTCTGCTTATTTCAAAACAATCCAGGGTGGATGTGCTCCTGCACACACACACTTGATGCTTTCTGTTTGCTTGCTCAAAGGACCCTCCGCAAATGCCAATCTAACCTTGCAGGATTAAGCAGGCTCCAGACCTTCCAGGTAACTGCTGCAGTCACTAGCTGTACTTTACGTTACAAAGTTCCATGAAATTCACATAGCTGAGCAGAGCTCAAGCCTCAGAGGCAGGCAGGATGTCTAATGTGGAAGTCAGTGTTGCTACTTTACACATTGACATTAGCACCTGCCCCCCAAGGCACTGAAATCAGGAAGGAAGTGTGATACCAATACAGTAAAGTGGGCATATCCACCACTCTTGATAGGCCTGGGCAGGCCTTAGACATCTCCCCAGAGAAGCAGGAAAGACTGACAAAAAAGGGATATTTGGCGTTGTAAAATAAAAAAAGAGATAATGCCACAAATGATCTGAGGTTGTATTTTAGAAATTTTAGTCAACATTTTGTGGTAAAGGAAGAAAAGCTGAATCCAGGAAACTGATTTGCAAACTAGCTACATCTGGCATATATTTCATTCTGATTTTGCTCATCAAAGCGAGGAGCAGAAGGGGGAACATGACGCAGAACCTGAAGTCCCACTCCCAATCAGTGGAAACTGATTGCTCAGCAACCTTTTTCTGGCTTCTGAGACTGTATCAGTACTGCCAACAGGTATTCCAAGCCCCACTCCCATTGCAACCTCAATGATTTGAAAAGTATTTTTAAAGAATAAAAAACTAGAGGGCTGTGATCTTCAGAATGCTGAGTTATGCATTCTCTGCTGGTTATTGCAGCAAGTTCAGAAAAGAGTACAGTCAGTCCCACAATACATCACATTCTCTCTGACAAAATACAAGAATGTCCAAGTTGTTAATCATAGCAAATGCTGAGCTGCTTTTGATTTAAAGAGCAACATGCTCCTATCCCAACTGGTGCTTCCAAAACAACACACGAGTTCCATGGCGCCGTCTTCGGTCAAGATCTGGGTTATTTTCTCTGCCATGTTCCCACTGATGGTGAGGGATCGGAAATGGTCAAAGTCATGCCTGCCCAGTTTCCGCAGGCGCCGGGCAGCTGCTCGGTAACACTTCCATGGCTGTGGTTCAATGAGCAAGTATATACATTTAGAGGCAAGGTAGGACAACAACTTGACTAGACCACTGTCCCCATGATTCAGATGGATCCACATGGTCACAGACATACAGAAGCAAATGTCAAACGTCGAACGGCCAAACTTGCTCAAATAGCAGCCCAACAGCGCTTCTCTTACACTGGAGTCCATGATGTCAAGGGCGGCATAGGAAATGGAGCCAGGGAAGGGGCTGCGTTGCTTGGCTCTTTCAATCAGCCCAGCATCAATGTCACAGCACAGGAGGTTTAGATCCTTCCCAGCCATAGAATGTTCTAGGCTGACTTTGCTCTCCTGCAACCCAATAAGGTGTCTGTAAAGGGCAATGCTGAGCTCCTGAAGAGATAAGGAAAAAAGAAGACTTTCAGTATGCATGTTTCGCTCTAACATCTTCTACAGTAGAGATGGCTGTCCAGCTCCTGGGGCAGCCTTAATTTGCCCTTACCAAAGTTTAATCAAGATGCAGTAGAAGAACAATAGATTTGCTCAAACATCATTATTCGTCACTGTATAAACAAACATGTTGTTTTTTTTATATATATGTAAAAAAGGGATGCGGTGGCGCAGTGGGTTAAACTGCTGAGCTGGTTGACTGAAAGGCTGACAGTTTGAATGCATACACGGGGTGAGCTCCCATACTCTATCCCAGCTCCTGCCAACCTTGCAGTTCAAAAGCATACAAATGCAAGTAGATATAAAGGTACCACTTCAGTGGGAGGTAACAGCATTCCATGCACTTTGGTGTTTAGTCATGCTGGCCACATGACCATGTAAATTGTCTGTGGACAAACGCTGGCTCTCTCAGCTAGGAAACAGAGATGAGCACCACCCCCAAGAGTCAGACATGACTGGACTTTTAACGTCATGGGGAAACCTTTACCTTTACCAATCTGTAAAAACATTCCTCTTGGATCAAGCAAACCCCAGTCCAGCATTCTATTTCCAACAAAAGCCACATGAATAACTCCAGGATTTGTCTAATCCTACTATAAACTAAGATATCTATGGTAAGTCTGAGGAGTCCTAGACTCCACAGCCACTGCAGTGGAAATAAGCCACACGGGTTCCTCCAGATGCTACTGGACCATTCTTCCCATGATACCTGATCATGTTGGCTGGGACCAATGGGAGCAGAGTCCAACAACAGCTGAGGGGCACAGGTTCCTCACTCCTCAATGCTAACTTACTCATTGAAGGCCCATAAATTGGGTAGGGGGTCCTATTGAATAATAAAACTTCTCAGATCACAACTGAGAGCACAATGTCATTCTTGACAAGATAGAATTTGCTGTTCCTATTTTAGGGCTGACCCTTCACAAGGCTGTATGCGTAGTAAAGCAGTCATGTATTTGGGAAAAAAGAAGTACATCAAAAAAGTAAAGATACTTGTGGATAGCCCAGTGGGAGTCCTTATCTATTTATACGTATGTAAGTTTACGCTGAGATTTTTTAAAAGTTAAAAAATAACAAACCAAGGGAAACAATTCTGATATAAGGTCATCGACAAGTGCTTAGCTAAGCAAGTCTCCCTCCCTTTCTGATGCTTTTGTGCACACATATGTACACAGTGAAACACAAGACAAAGTTGAACCAGTAAAGCTGTAACACAAGCCAAGACAGGATGCAGCATGCACTCATGGTAAAATTCATGAGACAGCACCTTTTAATGACAAGATGTGGCCCTAAAAGAGATTTTTAAGCATCCATAAGAAAAAAGCCTGGTTGGATCAGGCCAAAGGTCCATCTCATCTAGCTTCCCCCTGGTGGCTAGTTAGATGCTTCCAGGAACCTCCTGAGCAGAGCCTGAAAACAAAGCACCCTCCTCCATAACTGGCATCTTGTTTCAGAACATGGTGATTTCACACAACCACCCACCATGACTACTAGCCATTGACAGACATATCATTTCAAACAAACTCCCTTTTGAAGCCATCTAAATTAGTGGCCCATAAATTAATTCTGTGAATTGTGTGGAAAAGCTCTTCACTTTCTCTATGAAGAATCTACTACCAGCACATTTCGATGAACAAACCCAATTATTAGTATTGTGCAGGTGAGGAGGGCAGGGGGAGTTAGCCTTTCTTCATTCTCTTTGGTTCAGTCAATTGAAGGAAACTATTTGTCCCTACAAAAGAAGCAGCCACCTCTCTGCCACAGTGATGATGCAAGGAACATGTTGGTTTAGTTAAGGGGTACACATGCCACATGCACTTGCACATCCATGGCCACTTCTTAATGTTAAGGTATGTATCATGACTCCCCCTGCACTCCTTTCTTCCTCCAAGTGCCAAAGGCTGTTTCTTTCCCCTACACCCCCAGGAAAGGTAGAGGGGAAAAACTCGGCCAATCAATCAGGCCAGCACATTAGTACTGTGTCCACCTTTACGGTGTTCTCCTCGGGAAAACTGCTGCACCTCTTGAAACTCGGCAGCAAAGCATGGAAAAGAAGGCTGGAGCAGTACTCACTAGACACTTACGATACCCTTCCTTTCCCTTCCCTCCCCACCCCACCAGTCTCTCTCACCCCCGAATTGCACCCCACGTCCAGCCCCAAAAGGGGCCCCGCACGCGGATTTGGGAACAGCTCGCTCAGCAGTGCGGCGGGCAGGAGGCGAACGCGCCCCTCCGGCGGGTGGAAGCGGGAATAGTCCGGGAAGTTCCCGAATGGCGCCGCCCCACCGGGGAGAACTGGCAGCTCCAAGCCCCCGTGGGCCTTACAGCACTCGCGCTTGGGCGCCGCCATCTTGGCAATAGCAATTGCTGCAGCGTCCGGCTAGGAAACAAGTCGAGGAGCAACGAAGGTTCCGGGCAATGCGGACGGGAGGGGAGGATTCCGGAAACGAGGGGGCATGCGAAGGTGTGTTTATTATTAATAATAAGGTATTTTTATTATCTCATTAATAATAAGAAGAGGGTGTTAGGAGAGCTCTGACAGGTATTTGGACTCCTTACTCTTAATGTTTCATCATGTAACACTCCTTGTAGAGAGATGTGCTATGAGCCAACGGTGCAGCCCTAGCCATGTGTAGACAGAACTGGCTCACAATAACTGGGGCATGCTGGGAGTTGTAGGCTTTGTTTCTGCCTGACCATGCGCAGATTGCGCATCAAATCTGGATCCAGTGAGTAAGGCGTTGCTGCATTATTTGAACATGCATCCCATTGAACTCGAAGGGAATATCCTTGGGAGTAAGCCTCACAGACAGTAAAAATACAGGGAAAATATGCAGGGTACTGTAAAGAAGCTCATCTGATTAATGTCTCACCTTGTTACTTTTGTGTAATCCCTGTAAACGTGCTGGTGAGTGGGCTGGAAATTGATTTAATCCCTATTACTGTGGGATGATTGTATTAGTCATAAACACCAAATAAATAATGTGTCGACCATGTGGCTACCTAATTTGTTTAAAACCAGTGGTCAGCACAATATAGTTGTTACGTGCTGACTTACAATGACCCTATGATTGAGTGACCTCCAAAAGGTCATGTCCTTTACAGCTGCTCTTGTAAACGTAAGGCTGTGGCATCCTTCAGCACAATATTGCTCTTGTTTATACCCTACCTTTCTGTTGCAGAAATTCAAGGTTGCTTAGCAGGACTTCATCATCACCAGCACCATCATACAACAGATACATCATTCAAATTAACCCAAATCAAAATAAGTGGTGCTTTTTTTAGGAATAGAAGAAGCCAGTTTACAAGTTGTTGTTGAAAAGGCCGCTCCTTGAAAAGCCAGTTGAAATAATATTTAAGAAATATTAAAATGTTTAACAAAAAGCAAGCAGCAGCGAGGACTAGCAAATCTCCCTTGGGAAGGAAGATGTTCCAAATTTTGAGTGCTACAAGGGAAAAGACCTATCTTGCGATCACAGTGGTATGTCTGATGGTTGGAAACATAGAGCCGGCTACAGAAGTGGAGCTCAGTGTGTAGGCCTGTCTGTGTGGGAGGAAATTCTTGAAGTTCTGTGGTCCCAAGCTTGTGAAGCAAAGCGAGTGAAGCTCGTGGACCTGCCCCAGCATCTGCTGGCCAGGTTAAGCCCTCACGTTGAGGTTCCACATCCCTGATTTAAGGCTTCAAAGATCAACTTTAGTGGCAAATTGCAGTGATAACAGGAATCAGATAAACAGCCATTCTCTGCTGTACCTGTGAGCCCAGGCACTGTTCTTTCTTGGTTGGCACTCACATGGGCATCAGAGGTATATTGAAGGGGAAATAGTTTATTTATTATATTTATACCTCACATTTTTTCCCTTTCAACCACCTCAAGGTGGCTTACAACACACTCCTCCTCTCAATCTTATCCCCACAACAACAGCCCTGTGAAGCAGGTTGGGCTGAGAGTCTGTGACTGGCCCAATGTCCCCCAGTGGGCTCCATGGCTGAGCAGGGACTAGAACCCAGACTGCCTGAGTCCCAGTCTTGCACTCTTAACCACTGCACCACACTGGCTTTCAAAACTAGCATCACGTATATTTGTGGTGTTTCTTATAATGGATCTGCACTGAAATGAACGGGGATAGTGTGGAGGAAAGAAGAGAGCTTCCACTCTAGAAACCAAACTCTCAGCATGCTTGCTTTCCAGCAGGTGCCAGCACATCTTTTAGAAGCCAGCTGCAGGCCGGGAACATGTCATGTTCAAGTCCTGGAGTTGCAAATTGCCTTCTCATTAGGCAAGAGTTTCTGCCAGGCCCAGGCAGAAAGCTGTAGCTACGGGTAATTAGAGATGATCTCTCATGATTTCACTGGCACACTTCTGAGATTACCATCTTCCTCACTACAGGCAGACTCGCTGGTTATTTTAATCCTTCCAAGATTCCAACAGTCACTTATTATACTTCTGTGGGCACAACAGAACAATAACCCATAGCTCCAGGTGGATGTTTACATTAGACCCAACTCCACAGATACTCTAGGAAAGAAAAGCTGGCCTCTCCTTCGTTTGAGCGTCTGCTGGAGTATGGGTCATTTCTTGAAAGACTGGCAAACATGAACATTGGTGTACAACACAAATATGAAAAATGACATCGGTGCATTCGTTATGGATTAGAGTTAGAAGTGACCTGGGTGTCACAAAAAAAGATGCCAACAGCAGGGAGCTAGCATGACCCGCAGAAGCAAACTCTGCCCAGGCTAACAGCCCTCCCAATGCTGGGTTTGTTGCACAAACTTTCCCCACAAGGCTCAAAATGATAGTTTGTGCAATGAATTATTCTGGTGCATCCAGTCCGTGGGTGTTCAAATCCACTTGCATCACCTGGACTGCATGCTGCTGATGCTAATACAAACTGGTTTAACCTGGAAAGAGTTGCTGTAATTATCCCTTCTAATATAAATGTTAATAATCCATTTCACGTGCTGGCTGACACAGGGCTTGTGTTTTCTCTAGGAACTTCTTCAAAATGTACCTGACTAATTTTAACTGCAAATGAATTCATCAAATTCCTCAAAGAGTCACTGAAGTCAGCAGCGGTGAGTCACATGGCTAAGGGGCTGCTGGTGCAAAGCCTTGATGAAAACCCTGTAGAGGCAGCCCTAAGCAATACATGAGCAAAGGGCGCAGGCCATGCAAAGCAAGAGGAAAGGAACGCTGCCATCACTAAAATGGTCTAAAATAGTCACTGAAAACAAAATCAGGAAGGATCATGCTTTATGAAAAATCTTTCTAAGACTTTTAAATATCTTTCTACTTGTCATCCTGGTCTGCATTTTAGAGAAGTCTTTCTTCTAGAAGTTGATTCCATTATTATAGAATACATATGTACCTGACTCTTCCATGCACTTACAGACATCAGGGCTGCATGTAGCTCTGTCAAAAAAACAAATAATACTCTTCTTAGCTCTGCCAAAACCCCTGTTTTAAGGGGAAGATTTTGTTTTGGCATCTGTCAAAATTCCATGCTCCTATGAGTGGGATGCTTTGCATTTTCCCCTTTCCCTGAGTGCCTAGAGTCTTGGGAAAGGATAGAGAAAGTACAGGATGCTGACAACTGTCACTTCCAAATAATTAAAATTAGAGGATCTCATTGAAGGGTGTCATATACACTCCATCCCCTTCTGCACATAAAGATCATGCAGTTTTGCTTGACCGTTTGCTATTTGGCAGCAGTCAGGTAAGTGCAAAGTAACAAAGTAGTCAGTGAAGGATAAGAGAACTAAAGTCCGTGGGGTCATAAGACTCCAGTGCGACTTTGCCGACTAAACAAAGTAGTCAGTTTGCAGCCTCGCCTGGTCTGTGCTTGGTACCTTCTGCAGTTTGACAGCAAATATTTCCTGGGGCATTGACTAGGTCAGGCTTTTCATTTTGGACCTCTGTAAGTGTGCATGACTGTACTGGTGAAAGGCCAGCATCCAAAAGAAACAGCAATGTGCACACGTTCCAATTTGTGCACATGGCAGAACCTGAAAGAAAATATGCAAAATGCTCCCAGAATCGGGGGGCAGGACCCAGTTGTCACTTGGTGGAAATGAATGCTGTGGAATTCCATTGCGCTTGAATGAATTAAATTCCCAGCACCAAGTATCCTAGAGCAAAGAGACTGGAATCAACAGCACGTGTATAACAGAAATCACACTGATTTCGATGGGTCTGTTCTGTGTAGGACTAAATCTGGATCCAACTCCTAAGGCTCTTCTTGGGTTTTGTTGTTGCTGTTCCTGGTTGCTAAAGACATGTGGGAGGAGCCTTATCAGTACCATCATATCCCATGGAGTTCAGTGGGTCCTACCTACACTACAGGTATGCAGCTTCATGGATCTGGCCTCCAAGGAGCCCTGCCTTGGGTTGCCCTGCTAGTTTAGCCTACCCTCTGATCTAGTTTGATATCACCCACTAATTTTCACAATGACATCTGGGGTCAAGGGCAGCCTTATTTTATAAACAAGCACAGATTCTGTCAATTTTAAACATGCTCCATTGTGCAAAGATGATGGTAGCATTTTCCAGGTATGCATATACAGTAATGTGGTCAGGGTTGCGCCATTCAGCATATCACAAAAAGAACTTGTCTTTTAGGTTGAATTCATCATTAATCATTTCAGGTCAGCAGCTTCACCTAGTGGGCCAGGTGTCATTCTTTCAGTGCTCAAAAAACCCAACCTTCCTTTAGCTGGTATTCACACAGATATTGTTTCACTATTATGAAACTTAAGGTGTAAAGAATCTTTATCAATATTTTATTATGCCACAAAAGAGATGCTTAAAAAACTGAAGTCCATCTGTCTGTAAGTATAGACATTCAAAGTGTTGGAGGTTAGGTTTTCTTCTGTGATTTTGGCTTCTAGCTTCTGCTCCAAAACTCCTCTGAATAAGATATTTCAATACCATCATCTTAAAATGAATGAAACGTCTTGTGATTTCCCATCAGATACAGTGATTTAAAGCCACTTTGTATCTTATTCAAACTTTACTAGGGCAGATTACAAGCAGGTTTTAAAATGCAATACAAAGCAGTGCAATGTGATGTAACAGGATGCAAACAAAACAATACAATCTGTAGGGGGGAAATAAAAATAGCAGTGTAAAAGCAAGCCACCAAAGGTTTAAAGGTTCACAGTTAAATGGCATGGGAAAAATAAAAGGGCAGCCATGGGTAAGTAATTTTCCTGGAAGAGAATTTCACAACCCCGTGTTTGCATGTGCGTGCTTACGTGTGTGTGGGTGGGAGTCACCAATGAGAATTCCTCTCCCAAGTCACCATTTGTTGTGTCTCAGCTAGTGGAGACAGCCTGAAATTGACCTCAGAAATTAAATTTGTGCATTGGACGCTCATCTGGAGAGACAGGTGATCTTTCAGTATCCCGTCCCAAACTG